ATTATATTAATTTTGTTTTTTTTTTCAATTTGTGATTATTTGTGTTTTTCTCGCCTCGAATTTATAAGAAAAAATATTGTAATATATTTGAGTAATCATATTTCTCTTTTTCTTTTTAGAAATTCAAATCATGTTACAAATTACTGAAATGAGTGAAAAGTTACAATGCTAAATATCTGATTAATCAAATCTTATTTCTCTCTCTAACTCATCTGAATTTATATAAAAGTATGAAACTATTATAATATATTTTAGTAATTCGATTTCAAATTCTATGTAATCGATGAGAAATTAATCACACGTGATTTCTTATTACTCAAATCTTATATAATAAATAAATAAATAAGATTTTCTTTAGCCCTTAGTACTTTTTCCTTCCTATTCTGAAATAAAAATCATAACAAAATCACTTAGCTTGTTGTGCATTTATATGAGTTATTTTCAAAATACAATATTAAAAGACCATTTTGTACAAGTTATATTTTTTTCTCTCTCAAAATTTAACATTAGTTTTTACGGATTTTAAATTTTAAACGCAGAGTATTGTTCCAATTTTACTAATATTTTTTTTGACTTCAAATGTGATTTTGACTCTTTGCAAGTCTGATTTTCACAAACTTCAAATTGCGGAACTTTTAGTAATATTATTGTTGACTTGCATTCGAAATTTTTTGACTACGAAACAAATATCTTCGTTCCGATATTTCTTGTCCTGATTTTCAATTTTTTCTCAATTCTTTTTTGTAATGGAATTGGAATAAATATTTTTTGAAAATTTCAATTTCATTTCTACCCGATCCTTATTCTGATCCGATCATCCGATTTTCACCCATGTAACATTGATGTGGCTTAATTTTTTTTTATAAATTATAGATAGATTGATCATTCTTCCCATTAATATCATTTCATTAATCAAGCCATAATTTTATTTTTCTATGATCATTTATCATTATTTTATGCACATGTAATAAATATATCCCAAGCATCCAATATTAAACTAGTAACTAATATACTGGAGGTCCCTTAAACAAAACGTCGTTATCAATGAGACATAAGAGCGTCAGCAATCAAAACCATGGCGTCAGAAAGGATCCCGACGAGTTTATCCCCACTTGCGAACGGCGAATTATTATTAAACAACGCCTCAACTCCACCAACATCGCTGCGGATTGTCGCCGCCTGCTTCTTGTAGTCGGCGTAGTTGCCTTGGCCTTGATGCACGTCATTCATCATCACCCCGAAGCACGAGTCGATGTGGAAGTAGAAAGTCGTGCACTTCAAGTAGATGTCTTTCAGATTGCGATCCTTCTCGTTCACGAGGCGGTCTTCGATATCGAGCGCGGTTTTGCTGGCGGCGGCCAACCCCACGTCGACGGCGACCGACGCCAGCAACGTCATGTCCGCGGTGGCACTCCGCCCGTCGGCGTCGGTCGCGAAACCTTGTAGGCACAAGGATGGATCTTTGGTTCGGTTGCAGATATCGTCCACTGCAGCACCGTTTGTTTCTAGAGAGAGAAAGAGTAATTGGAGGATGAAAATTAGTGAGCAACAATTGTAGAGAGAGAAGAAGGTGGCCATGATAATATTATTAATTTCTTTTTTTCAATCTGTGATTAGTGTTTTTTTTTTCTATCTCTAATTCATTCCAATTTATACAAAATTATTGTAATTTATTTGAGTAATTAGATTTGAAGTTATATTTACTGATTGAGATTAATAAACCACAAATAATTACTTATACTTGAATCTTAATTATCAAAATAATTATAGTAGTAATAATAATTTATATCTTTTATCATTATGGTGTTTTTTGCATAAGTCCATATCTTTAGTATTCTAGGTTCATGGGTCATATTTCTTTGACCAATAAGCTCATTCCTCTAATATATATTTATGATAAATAAAGAAAAATTTAATGTATACGACAAAACTACCCCAAATTATTTACACCAAATTCTTAATTGTAACCCCAATTTAATCAATTTTGACCACAAAAATTCAATTTTGACTGTTTTTTAACTTTTTTTTTTGAAATTATTTTTTTGTCGCCGGTCTCTGGTGTTGACTTTTGAATTTTTTTTATGGTTTGATTTTTTCGCCGCCGGTTTCCGGCGTTGACTTTTTCGATTTTATTTTTGTGTCCGCTTTTTCCGCTGCTGGTTTTCGGTGTTGACCGCCGATCTCCAGCGTTGACTTTTTTTAGTGAACTTTTTTTTTTCCTAAATTTTTTTACTCCGCCACTTAATGTTGACCGTAATTGTACATTCATTAACAATAATTATACTTTCACTGACAACAAATTAACGTAATTATACTGTCGTTGAAAGTACATCCACGTAATTGTACTGACATTGACAGTACATTTATGTAATTGTACTGTCGTTGAAACTACAAGTAGTATCAACGACAATATTATTATTTTTTTTTGGCTTTTTTTATTTGTTTTATTTGTTGACAAGTCTCGTAATAATATTACCGTCGTTGACAGAAAATAACTGTAAACGCAATAATATTACTGTCAGCAACATTAATATTATTATTTTTTTGGATTTTTTGTTTTGTTCGAGTTGTTGACGGAGTAACGTAATAATATAATATTACTGTCTACTATTATAATATTGTTGTAAACACATAATATTACTATGGTTGACGGCAATATTACTGTTGTTAGAGTAATATTACCGTCAACCACATCAATATTAATTTTTTATTATGTTTACCTTTGTTGAACGCTCAACATATTAATATTACTCTATTACACAATAATAATGACTTTTATTGTGTTAATATTACTGTGGTACAGATTAATATTAAAACTGAATCAATGCGACATGAGTGTGTCAGCAATCAAAACCTTGGCTTTAATGCAAGTCATTAATCGTCACCCCGAGGCACGAGTCGATATGGTAATAAAAAGTCGTGCACTTCAAGTAGATGTTTTACAGATTGCGGTCCTTCGATATCGAGTGCGGTTTGGCCGACAGCGGTCAAGCCCACGTCGACGGCGACCGACGCCAGCAACGTCATGTCGGCGGTGGCGCTCTGCCCGTCTGATGTCGGCCGCGAAACCTTGTGGGCACAAGGATGTATCTTTGGTTTGGTTGCAAATATCGTCTACTGCAGCACCATTTGTATGTAGAGAGAGAGAGTAATTGGATGATGAAAATTAGTGAGAAAACAATTGTAGAGAGAGAAGAAGGTGGCCATGATAATTATTTATTGTATTTTTTAAAATTTGTGATTGGTGTTTTTCTTTCTTTCTCTAATTCATTCGAATTTATACAAAACTATTGTAGTTTATTTGAGTGATTAGATCTCAAATTATATTTACAGATTGAGATTAATAAACCACACATAATTTCTTATTACTCAAATCTTGTTTGTCAAAATAATCATAATATACAGTAATAATAATAAATTATATTTCTCAATAATATATAAAAGAAAGAATCGTGTGAGAACCCTATAAAACCCTAAGGAAATTGTAATAGATTTGTTTCCTTTTTGCATGGTGTTGGTCGAAAACCTACACGCAAGTGCACGTATCGTACAAGTAATATAGTGGACTAAAAGTACGGATATCGAACCCACAGAGAATATTTAATTATCTAATCCTAGACGCTAAATTCTACCAATTATTATCAAGCCCACCCTACACAGTCGACTTTAGAGAGAATTAACTAAAATAAATTAAAAAAAATAAATTAAAAAGCAAATTAAAACGACAAAGCAAGAAAGCAAATTAAACACGAAGATTTATCAGAGTAAACGAGCCTAGGATTTTATTCTTCCCCCTATGTGATTATTATTCCCCCAATTCCTTCAAGTATGCAAGCAATTAACCCGGATTATTAACCTGAGATGCTAAAATAATCATAACCCGCTTCCGCGTGTATTACGATTCTAATACTCTAGATTCAATTACTATATTCCTATGCAATTAATTCAAGAACACAGCATTAAGCACAAATCTCAATAATGGCTACCTAAGAGATTAACTATATTCCTATGTTAATACCACAAAGGCTCTTCTACCACAGTTCTAATTATTAACCCGATCTTCCGATGCATGCGATTAACAATAACATAAAAGCGCATAAAGTGGCCAGTTTCATGAACTTAATAAAACAAGTAGAAGAAATAATCCGGAATTAAAACTTGCATAAAATTATAGTATTGGGTTCATAAATCCCACATAGGGTTCCAAATAAAATCCTAGAAATAAGAAAATTAGCTACTCATGATTAAAGGAAAAACACGAATAAAATAAGTCATAAACGATAAATCTATGCTTAGAGTCTTCGAATTCTTCGTCTTCGTTATTGTTTTGTTGCTCTCCAAATTGCGTAAAAAAGATCCCCAATTCGACATTCGATGATGATGCGCCTTCCTCCCATGTCTCCTCGATAATCCTCGCACACTCGTCATGACGAACCCACATAGCTTCAAAGCGATAGGGCTACAATCATAATCCACTACATCTATATATATATTTTTTTTATTATTAATATTATTATTATTATTATTATTATTATTATTATTATTATTATTATTATTATTATTATTATTATTATTATTATTATTATTATTATTTTCCAGCCTATTTTTTCTAATAAAAAATATGTTTTATTTATTTAATGATTGACAATTAAGTTTTTATAGTTTTTTTTAATGAATTTGTATTAATATATCCGTATAAATCTTGATGTTGTTTTTGATATCACTAATAAATTTTATTATAATTGTAATTATCATGTATTAAATTAATCATTATTTTTATTTGAAATGTATGTTGTGCATCGCACGAAAGAAAATGCTAGTATCTAGTAATAATAATAAATTATATTTCTCAATAATATATAAAAGAAAGAATCGTGTGAGAACCCTATAAAACCCTAAGGAAACTGTAATAGATTTGTTTCCTTTTTGCATGGCAAGAGAAGAATTGCTTAGTTCTTAATAATTAAAAAAAAAAAAAAAAATATAATAATTAACTATGATCAGTGAGAAAGAGTTGTAGCCATAATTGCAACGGCATCAGCCAGAATGCCAACAAAGTCGTTCTCCTTTCTGAACGGCGATGCCTGCATGAACACCGCCTCGCACCGGTCAACGCCGCTGCGGGCGAGCCCCATCTTCATCTTCAGATCCACGTACCGGCGCTGCTGCAGATCCTCCGGCGCGATGTCGAGTGCGGCCAACGCGTCGACATACAAGTCCTCGCACTGGATGTACAAGTTCCTGTTTCCGGGATTCTTCTCCGACATTACGAAGCGGTGGATTTTGATTTTGGTTTGCCCGGCGGTGTTCTCCGCCGTGTCGATGGTGATTTGTGCCAGCTGCGGGAGCGCCGCCGTGCGGCTGCGCGGGTCGGTATTCATAGCTGCTATGCAGAGCGACGGGTTTTTGGTTTGGCGGCAGATGTCGTCCATCGCGGCGGCGTTTGTTTGTAGGAAGAGATTGCCGGAGATGAGAAAAACAATGCAAAGAGAGAAGAAAGTAGCCATTATTAGCAGTTAGCACTCTTTTTTCTCTCTTTTTTTCTTTTATTTTTTTTTGGTCGAATGTATTTTTTTTTAGGGTTTTCGTGTGAATTTATACACAATTATGTGAATGTATGTATAAATTTTCAAATCCAATTTTGTGATCTAGAAATTTATTTCACAGGATTTTTTTTCCTATTGGGATTAAAACAATTAAAGAAAATTATTATATATATCGATTTTGTTATTCTGATTTTGGTTTTAACCGCATACCATGCCAAGATTAATTTGGAATTATTGTTTTTAATTACATGTTGAGAAATCATTGACAATTTATATTCATGTGCGTATAGCAAAAAGGCCCATCACATGGGACTTAAATGCATTTTGGTCCACAAAAAAAAAACAGTCTCTCAATTAACTCCATCCCCATGTCTTTAGTCTAAAATATCCTCAACAATATAATTCTTATCAATTCCACCAATTATGCTCTAACTTCATTAATATTACACATTGACCCCCATATTTAAACAAATATATCACATTAACCCCCAAAACTTTTTTTTTTCAGAAAATAATTTTTTTTTCTGAAATATTCAGATTCCGGCCAGATTTCCGGGGTTGACCGCCGGAGACCGCCGGTCTCCGGTGTTGACTTTTTTTTTTTTTTTTGAAAACTTTTTTTTTCCTGAAATTTTTTCCGGCCGGTCAACCACCGTTGACTTTTTTTTTCTTTTTGTTTTTTTTGAATTTTTTTTTCTTAGAAGAAAAAAAATTTTAATTAATATTACTGTTTTAGCTACTAAATTACTGTCTCAGACAGCAATATTACTGTTTGGGACAATAATATTATGAATATTATTTTTCCGAACAGTAATATTATTAATATTATTGTCTAAGACAATTAAATTACTGTTGAAGACAGTAATTTAGTTTCTAAGGCAGTACTATTAATTAAAATATTTTTTTTAAGAAAAAAAATGAAAAAAAAGTCAATTAACAGTTAAATTACTGTCTCCGACAGTTAAATCACTGCTGGAGACAGTAATTTAGCAAACGAATACAGTAATATTAATTAAAAATATTTTTTTTAATAATAAAAAGTCAATTAACAGTTAAATAACTGTTTCCAACAGTTAAATAACTGCTGGAGACAGTAATTTAGCAAGATACAGTAATATTAATTAAAATATTTTTGAAGAAAAAAAAAGTCAATTAATAGCTAAATTACTGTCTCCGGCAGTTAAATAACTGCCGGAGACAGTAATTTAGCAGCCAAGACAGTAATATTAATTAAAAAAAATTAGAAAAAACAAAATTATAAAAAAAAAAAAAAAAGTCAACGCCGGAATCTGGCCGGAAAAAAAAAAACATTTCAGAATTTTTTTTTTTCTGAAAATAAATAAATTTGGGGGGTTAATGTGATATATTTGTTTAAATCCGGGGTCAATGTGTAATATTAAGGAAGTTAGAGCATAATTGGTGAAATTGATAAGAATTAGGGTTAAAATTGGGGTCAAAATTGAAATTGGGGTTAAAATTGGTTAATTGATGAAATTTGGCTAAATTGGGGTGTAAATCATGAAATTGGAGTTGAATTGAGTTTCAATGAAGCGGGGGTAATTTTGGTATATATGAAAGGATTTTCCTTATTTGCAAATAAGTTTGAATGAGTTGGATTTATTTGAAAGACAAAAAAATTGGATGTCTCTATTTTAATTATTTGCCATTACCCCATTTCCAATTCATGTATGTAAAATAAAGGAATGAATCGTTAGATTATATTAGATTAGATTAGATTTATAAAAATCCGAGTCGTATCTCCTTTTTCTGGGCTTCGACCGAGTTTCACTATTATTATTCGCCACTTAAGCCGGTCCGTTCAATTGGATCGAACCAATTTGTATCTCTCCCTCTCAACTTTATCACACATTATAATGGTATTAGGGGTGGATATTGAGGTTATTGTTACTAAAAGTATAAGTTGTTAGTAAAATGTATTATTTAATATTAGGGTTAATAGCATTTCGCCACCTGGACTTTGCCTGTTTTTGCACTTTGCCACCTTAACTAAAAAAAGTTGCAAGCGCACACCCACACTCAGTTTTTTTACGCACATAACCACCTAAGGGGAATATTCCAGCGAATATTCTCATTTTTCAACACACGCGATACGCACATGCGAAAGTAAAAGGACTTTTTCGTATTTTCACCTGAAAATATCATAAGGGGGTGAAATTGAAAGTACCAGGGATTCAATTGAACTTAATTTGAAACTTTCACAAATGCGAAATTAATTAAAGCTTTGTGCCTTCATCTTCCATGGGATCAAAACACCACCGCTGCACGTCTGTTTCAAAATGGAGCAAAAATATCTCCAATAAAGAGATGAAGAACAACAACGACATCAATCTGCTGAAATTCGCCGTGGATGAGGGAGACGAAGAACCCAACTCCGGAAGCGATTGAATCGGATTTCGGATTCTCGCCGGATAGTCTGGCGTACAGCATGTACCACCGTTCTTCCAAGTCGTCGAGGTACCTTTTCACGACCGGCGAACCGATTTCAACGCTTTCCCATGAATTGTCGGGGCCCAAATCGAAGACTAAACCCCTACAGAGCGACGAATTTGAAGGAAGTGGTGGAATTGAAGTGGGCGTGGGCGTGGATACTTGAATTGGGAAGTGAGTAATTTTCATATGTTGTCTCTTTGGCGGTGCTTCTGCTCATCAACAACAAGGCGTTTCAGGAATCCTCCAACGGCAGCCCCCCCACCCCTGTCGGAATTCTCCAATGGCAGCGCCCCTTTGTTCACCGGGCCCAAGCAGTGGGTGTTTTGATCCCATGGAAGATGAAGCCACAACGCTTCAATTAATTTCGAATTTGTAAAAGTTTCAAAATAAGTTCAATTGAGTCCCCGATACTCTCATTTTCACCCCCTTATGATATTTTCAGGTGAAAATACGAAAAAGCCCTTGTCCTTTCGCATGTGCATCGCGCGTGCGTTGAAAAATGAGAATATTCGCCAGAATATTCCCCTTAGCTGGTTACGTGCGTCAAAAAACTGAGTTTGGGTGTGCGTTTGCAACTTTTATTAGTTAAGGTGGCAAAGTGCAAAAACGGCCAAAGTTCAGGTGGCGAAATGCTATTAACCCTTAATATTAATATCTTTAATAAGTTCAGGTGTATTATATTTAGATTCTTGCACTTAAAAGTGGGATATATTCGAACTTAGGAGTTAGGACATTTCATTTGGCATGACTCTAATACTAAGTCGCATAACCATCTCAGGTTGAGCTTAGGGATGGCAATTTGACTTGTGCTATATGTACCCCTCCCGACCCGCCCCGAAAATGGCGGGGAATGCCCGCCTCGAAAAAATACGGGACGATTTCATGGATTTTGTTATACCCGCCCGCATCCCCGCCCCGTCATTGTATTCTCTTGAACCCAATTTCGTACTTCAAATCACTAAATAAAAATTGTAAAAACGCCTCTTAAATTGTGAAAAATTACAGACCACCCACCGAAAGCACAGAATTGTACATATTTGCACTATTACCCCACAAGAAATAGCAAATTACTCTAATGCTCCCAAAATAACAACATTGTATTTCATCCCATTTAGAGGGAGAGAAGAGAGAGAAACGGGTGTAGATAATGTCTAATCTCTCAGCTCCAATAGTGGGGATTTCAATTTCATGGCTGCCTTCAAAACCAAGGAATCAAACCTACAAAGATCATCAAAATTCATCTTCTCATCTCCCTACCCACAAATACAAAAACCCTAGAAACAACCACATTTGCAGAGCGCACTGTTTTTCAGAAATCCCTGTTTCTCTCTCATCCACATCTTCAATAAACGCGCCGCTCGACGCAATAGCCGCGATCCACAATCGAAATTGCTCGAGGATTTGGTTGTGGCGGATTTGGATCCGGCGATGGCGAAGGATAGTGATGTCATGGTCAGGGCCGGTTGGCCGGTTCTGAGTAAAGACGAGAAATGCGGTCGCCTTGGGCCCCCAATTTTTTTATGATTACGTAAAAAAAGTCCAGATTTTGGCTTTGAGGTTATCTTATATAAATGTAATTAAGACTTGGTAATATATATAGGAGTTTCCTTATGAATCAAAATTCCTATAATGCAAAGTTGAGAAATTACGGACGGATGTCCGAAATTTAATTCATTTTCTCAGACGGCCGTCTCAACCTTCGATTAGATTTTTTTTTTACATTCGGGACGATCGTCGGAGAATTAGCTGAAAACTTCAGACGGCCGTTTCAGTTCTATTTTTGGTCTGCGGCTAGTTGTCTTCCCTCCTTGCCCGTTCTTTACCGTTCCATCCTCTAGACTCCCGATTCTTCAATTTGTACCTAAAATACACTAACCAAGTCATTAAGCACCATTCAATCAATGAAATTCCACAAAAATTGACATAAGAAAATATAAATTGAGTGTTAAACTTACACTCAACACCTCTAAAAAAATCGGGGGCCAGCCCCCGTACCCTCAATTTTTTTAACCTACTATGTTATATTACTTCGAACAAAAAAAAAGACAATGTTGCCCCTTCGAGGGGCCCCTGTTTCAAAGATCTAAACACTTCGCCTTGGGCCCCCGAATTTCTAGGAACGAGCCTGATCATGGTACCCTAAGCTGCCGTTGGAAGAGTTCCCGTACGTGTTGGCCTACGCGCCGATGGAGCCACTGCTGGTTCTGACGAGGAAGGTGATTCCGTTGTTGGCCGGAGTTGACGTAACTCCGATTGTGTGGTTTGGATTGCTCAGTTTTACAAATGAAATCCTAATCGCATATTTATATATATATATATATATATATATATATATATATATATATATATATATATATATATATATATGGGAATTTAATTAAAAAAAGGATATTCAATTTTTTTTTCTTTCAAATATTTTCAGCTCATTCAAACTTATTTGCAAATACGGAAAACCTTTAATATATATCAAAATTATCTTCAATTTTTAAAAATTCAATTCAACTCTAATTTCATGATTTACACCCCAATTTAGCCCAATTTCACCAATTAATCAATTTTGACCATAATTCTAATTTTGACCCGCCACCACCAGAAACCGCCAGTCAGCCGCCGTTGACCGCCGATCTCCAGAGTTAGACTTATTATAGATTAGGTAGGAGTCATTTCCTTATTGGGTCTCTGATACCAACTGATAAGAGAGTTATAAGCCGAATGGTAAACTCTGTCAGAATCATACGTGACTTTCGGGATGCATGAAACACTGCCAGAATCATACCTGAGATATGGTAAATTACGCAATAACCCCTCATGTTCGGGTAATTACAATCACCGCCGCAACTATAAATCTTCTTACACGTCCACTTTTGCGGTGTCAAATTTAGTGGAATCTTCTAGATTATACGAAATATTCCTCACTTTTGTAACTATTTTATCACATGAGAACTCCACATTTTGAAGCAAGATGAGAATAAAATGTGTTTTTTGGATTGTAGATATCAGATTGTGGTGCATTAGAAATTGCAATTTCGCACAAAACGAGTACAAACTAGAGAATATTCCACAAAATCTAGAAAATTATATTGAATTTGACACCATAAGGGTGGACGTAAGAAGATTCATAGTTGAAGGTAGTTGTAATTATCCAAACATGAGGGGGTTTTTCGTAATTTGATTATACGTCAATGGCGGTTGTAATTTACCCTTTATTTAATGAGCAATTTCATATTATGACAATTAAGTTCATATATATTTTTTTTCAGAATGAGTTTGCATTATTAAATCTGTATAAATATTAATATTGTTACCGATATCAACAATAAATTTTATTATAATTGTTATTGACATGCATTAAAAAAGTAATCATTATTTTCACTTTTGAAATGCTAGCAAATCAGCGAGACAGAGTTCTCGCCATAATTGCAACTGCATCAGCCAGAATCCCCACAAGCTCGTTATCCTTACGGAACGGTGATTCATGCATGAACGCCGCCTCGCACCGGTCAACGGCGCGGCGGGCGAGCCCCATCTGCATGTCCAGATCCACGTACCGCCGCTTCTTCAGATCCTCCGGCGCGATGTTGAGGGCGGCCAACGCGTCGACATAGAAATCCTCGCACTGGCTGTACATTTTCTGTTTTCGGGGATTCTTCTCCGACATTACAAAGCCGTGGATCCTGATTTTGGTTTGCCCGGCGGTGTACTCCGCCGTGTCGACGGTGATCTGCGCCAGCTGCGGAAGCGCCGCCGTGCGGCTGCGCGGGTCGGTATTCATTGCAGCCACGCAGAGCGACGGGTTTTTGGTTTGGCGGCAGATATCGTCCATCGCGGCGGCGTTTGTTTTTAGGAAGAGATTGCCGGAGATGAGAAAAAGAATGCAGAGGGAGAAGAAAGTAGCCATTATAGCACTTTTGGTCGAATGTATTTTTTTAGGGTAATTTGTGATTGGTGTTTTTTATTTTCTTTCTCAAATTCATTCGAATTTATACAAAACTGAAAACTATTGTAATTTATTTGAGTAGTTAGATTTCAAATTGTATTTAATGATTGAGATTAATAAACCACACACATAATTTCTGATACTCGAATCTTATTTATCAAAATAATTATAATAGTAATAATAATTTATATCTTTTATCTTTATATATATAAGAAGGAAACGATGGATAACCTCAACATTCCTAATCACATATATCTAACAAAAACAATATTAAATATATGGGCAAATAGTAAAATGAGACATGACAAGCGGGTTAAATGCACATTGATCCAGACGAAAAACAGTCTTCTAAATAAATCCATTCACATGTCTTTTGTGTAAAATAGCCTCCACAATATATTTTTTTTTATCAATTTCATCCATTATATTTTAACTTTCTCAATATTACACATTGACCTCGGATTTAAATAAATATATCACATTAACCCCATTTTAATAATTTTTTGAAAATATATTTTTTTTTCAGAAAATAATTTTTGTTCTGAATATTTATTTTCCGGCCAGATTTCGACGTTTACTTTTTTTTTTAAACTCTTTATTCATAATTTTTTTCCGACCGCTTTTCGGCGTTGACTTATTTTTTGAATCTTTTTTCTTAAAAAAAGTTATTTTAATTAATATTACTGTCTTGGCTGCTAAATTAGTGTCTCCAACAGTAATTTAACTGTTAACTAACTGGCTTTAACAGTAATATTGAATACCAAAACAATAATATTATTAAGGGAAAATGAGGGACGACCCCCTCATTAGGTAAAATAATATAGTCTGGGCTCAATTTATAATTGACCATTTGTAAACAAACTCATTTAATATTTTCTGAATTGTGTGACCCCCTAAGCTTATGTTAATGCCCATTATGCCCTTTTTTGTCAATATTTTTCTCCTACTTTCTCTTTCTTCTCATTATTTCTCTCTTATCCGTCATTTTATATTTTCCATTCATTTCTCTCTCTTCCTTTTTTTCCTCACGTTCTTTTATTCTTCTTCTCTCTCCACTCTCCTCTCTCTCTCTCTCTCTCTCTCTCTCTCTCTCTCTCTCTCTCTCTCTCTCTCTCTCTCTCTCTCTCTCTCTCTTCCCCCATTTACTCTCTTCCCGTATCTTTTTTTATTCTTTTTTCTCCCCCCCCCCCTCTCTCTCTCTCTCTCTCCTTTCTCGTCCCCCATTTCATCTCTTCTCATTTGTTTTTGTTTCATTTTTTCTCTTTAGTTTTATCTATTTATTACCACTACTTTACCTTTTTCTTCTACATCTCATTTTTTGTTCGTTGAAATCAATCGATTTTCTACTTTATGAAATTCATGTATTCACCGGAGATGAGATTTCTATCACGAGTATTCAATTTTATAACACCATAGTATCTTAAATTTAAAAATATATAATATAGTGAATTACTGAAAAATTTATAGTTGACTACCAATTGTTTTATAGTTGACATCGGAACAATTATAGTTGACTATCTAATTTTTGTTGTTCACTCTGGCAACAATATAGTTAACTACCATTTTTTTATAGTTGACATCATAAAAAATATAGTTGACAATCTAATTTTTGTAGTTGATATTGGGAACAATATAGTGAACTATCCGATTTTATACTTGACTCTGAGTGTAGATGACTACAATTTTATGTTTTTCGAAAACAATGATTTCTTCTTTGTTGTGGGCTCTAATAAAACAAATTTCATAGGAAACAAATATTTATAAGTCAAAAAATAGTGCGACCATAGATCTGTAGATCAAAAAAACAAGCTTGTTTACAAATTCCATTTTTGAGTAATCAACCATGGAAGAATTCTGAACCGTCGCATATGGTCGTCGCGTTTCTTTGATTTCGGAGTGACCGAAATTAGGGAAAATTCCAGTGATTCATGTATGAAAAATAACATAATTAATCAAACAACTATTAAATCTACAACATATCTAAGTGAAAATCGATTGTCGATTTCAGGCTTACCGTTGCATATGATTTCTGTAGGAGACTTCAATTTGTCCTTCGAAGACACTAAGAAGGGTGAAAAATATAAATTATGTTGTAAAACTAAAGAAATTAGATTAATAGAAGTGGATGGGAGCCGTGAATGTATAGGAAACTACCTGTCTTCGGTTTGCTAGCTTTCACCGTTGTTGTCGGCCTGTATTTGTCTAGAATTCGCACAAATCTCAGTTTTTTCTTTTTGTGAACAAATATAGCAAACGAAGGTATTGTTGGAACCGGGAAAGGATCGTATATATTTTGCAGATTTTTTGGCGATTTTCTTGGAATAAATATAGTAGAGTGGCAGAAATTTGGGGATACATTACATTGAATTTGGTTGAAGATTTTATGATTTAGGGGAAAACGGTGGGGGGTCATTGCTATTGAAAAATATGGGGGTAGTATAATAATTGGTAAATGTGAGGGGGTTTAATCCATTTAAAATAATGTTAGGTGGTTAGTTCTAATATTTTTTTGTAATGAGGGGGTTATCCCTCATTAACCCTATTATTAATATTATTGTCCCAAACAGTAATATTATGAATATTACATTCCCGAACAGTAATATTACTAATATTGCTGTCCCAAACAGTAATATTATTGCATGAGACAACATTTATGGTTATCTTGCTTCAAAATGTGGAGTTAGGATGTAATAAAACGGTTAAAAAATTGAGAATATTCCATATAATCTAAAAAATTCCACTAAATTTGACAATGCAAGAGTGGACGTATAAGAAAATTTATAGTTGAAGGGTGGTTGTAATTACACAAAAATGAGGGAAGTTTTCGTAATTCGACCATACCTCAAAGGTGGTTGTATACCCTTAAAGAAATGAACAAAGAAGAATTAGAGAATATACACTCGAAAATAGAATATAAAAATAATAATAATATTTAAAAAATATATAGTGGTAGTGGATCAAAACTGTGCTAGTCGAGATTTGGTATATATATATATATATATATATATATATATAGAGAGAGGGGTAATGGCAAATAAGCCCATGACAAGGGCACTTAATTAAAAGATGGACATCCAATTTTTTTGTCTTTCAAATAAATCCAACCCATTCAAACTTATTTGCAAATAAGGAAAATCCTTTTATATATACCAACATTATCCCCAATTCATTGAAACCCAATTCAACTCCAATTTCATGATTTACACCCCAACCTAGCCCAATTTCATCAATTAATCAATTTTAACCCTAATTTCAATTTTGACCCCAACTTTAACCCTAATTCTTATCAATTCCACCCATTATGCTCTAACTTCCTTAATATTACACATTGACCCCGGATTTAAACAAACATAAAACTTTTTTTATTTAGAAATTAATTTTTTTTTTCTGAATTTTTTTTTTCCGGCCAGATTCCGGCGTAGACTTATTTTTTTTTTTTTTTTTATAAATAATTTTGTTTTTTCTTAATTTTTTTTAATTAATATTACTGTCTTGGCTGCTAAATTACTGTCTACGGCAGTTATTTAACTGTCGGAGACAGTAATTTAGCTGTTAATTGACTTTTTTTTTCCTTCAAAAATATTAGAATTAATGTTACTGTATCTTGCTAAATTACTGTCTCCAGCAGTTATTTAACTGTTGGAGACAGTGATTTAACTGTTAATTGACTTTTTTATTCTTAAAAAAATATTTTTAATTAATATTACTGTATTCGTTTGATAAATTAGTGTCTCCAGCAGTTATTTAACTGCCGGAGACAGTAATTTAACTGTTAATTTACTTTTTTTTTCATTTTTTTTTTCTTAAAAAATATTTTAATTAATAGTACTGTCTTACATGCTAAATTACTGTCTTCAACAATAATTTAACTGTCTTAGACAATAATATTAATAATATTACTGTTCGGAAAAATAATATTCATAATATTACTGTTCGGAAAAATAATATTCATAATATTACTGTCCCAAACAGTAATATTACTGTCTGAGACAGTAATTTAGTAGCTAAAACAGTAATATTAACTAAAATATTTTTTTTCTAAGAAAAAAATAAGTCAACGCCGGAGACCGGCGGTCAACGCCGGAATCTGGCCGGAAAAAAAATATTTCAGAAAAAAATTATTTTCTGCAAAAAAAAAGGTTTTGGGGGTTAATGTGATATATTTGTTTAAATACGGGGTCAATGTGTAATATTAAGAAAGTTAGAGCATAATGGGTGGATTTGATAATAATTATATTATTGAGGGTATTTTAGACTAAAGATATGTGGATGGGCTTAATTGAGAGACTGTTTTTTTTGTGGACCAAAATGCATTTAAGTCCCATGTAATAGGCCTTTTTGCCATTCGCCCACATATATATATATATATATATATATGCCCATGACAAGGGCATTTAATTAAAAAAGGGACATCAAACTTTTTTGTCTTTCAAATAACCAAAATTATCTCCAATTTCTTGAAGCTCAATTCAACTCCAATTATGATGTACACCCCAATTTAGCACAATTTCACCAATTAACCAATTTTGACCCGCCACCACCAGAGACCGCTGGTCAGCCACCATTGATTTTTTTTGTTTTTGAAAACCTTTTTTTTTCTAAATTTTTTTTCCGGCAGGTCAACCGCTGGTCTGCGGCGTTGATTTTTTTTCTTGAAAATATTATTTTAATTAATATTACTGTTTTGGTTGTTAAATTACTATCCCTACCAATAATTTAACAGTTAATTGACTTATTTTTTTTTGCAATTTTGTTGTTTCTTATAACAAATATTTTAATTAATATTACTGTCTTGGTTGATAAATTACTGTCTGACACAGTAATTTAACTGCCGAAAACAATAATTTAACTGAATGAGACAATAATATTACTGTATGAGACCGTAATTTTACTGTATTAATTAATTTTATCGTCTTGGCTTGCAATTTTTCTGTTTTCGACCGTAATATTACTGTCTACGA